TCCAAGTTTGGACAGGGATTCACTCTCATCATCAAAATGAAGATCGATTTGGTGACCAAAGACCAGTCGTATCCGAACCGAGTGGACCAATACGTGAAACAACACTTCCCATCGGCTGAAGTGCGCGACCGACACGAGTGTCTCGTCCACTACCACATCACCGACACCTCAACCCAATGGTCGGCGATGTTTAAAGTGATGCAAAGCGCACAACAAGAGCTCGATCTCGAAGACTATAACCTAAGCGACACCACTTTGGAGCAGATTTTCCTCTCATTCGCTAAACAAAAGTGATAAACAAATTGTATTTCATTTTAACAGTAGTTTTATTTATCTCACAATTTATTCATTACTTATTTCGTTATAAAATTTATCCCATTTTTTAGTCTCAAATTTTTGTTATCTATTGAAATGTAAAGTTAATATTAATTAAAAATATTAAAGAAATAAATTATTATAATTAAACAATTATCAAATTATTTATTATTCAAATTGTTATTGATATAAATATATAATTAGTAATTATTATTAATAAGTAATAATATTTAAGTTTTTAGAAACATTGAGAATATAAATAAAAGCTTTAATTAAATGATAAAAAATATTTGGTTTTCACCGAAAAAAAACAATAAAATTATTAAACATTACATTAAAAACTTTTTTCATTCAATGACTAAAGATATGAATAAAAACAATCGGAAAAGTGATCATTATCAAAACCTTTGTTCAGATAAACCCTTTGAATGATATCATTGGTAATGTGTTCAATATTTTTTAATAAAAAACATACATTTTTCACAATTAAGTAGAAATGATTGAAACTTTTTTTGTTAGAAAAATATTCAATTCTTATCGTGTAATCAAACGAGACATCAATAAAATAAATGCATATTTAACTCACTTTTTTCATAGATTATGAGTACTATAGGAAAAGCACTACTGAATACCACAACAACTGTTAACGAGATTATAAAGGATTAAAAGGCAAACATAAAAAGTTAAATAAAATGCTAAATATTATAAAGTGCTGAAGATGTGGCCAAAGATCACCGGATGAATCTATCGGGTGATAAAGTGGTGGTATATTTGAATTAACTTAACTGTTTTGATACATATTAATTATAATTAACCATGATTATAAATGTAGCGATGATTAGCGTAAACCCAATGATAGATTTGGTGGTGAATTAATTGGCAATTATTAAGCTCGAGATGAATCATGCGATCGCTTAAAACAATGTAATATTAAATTACAATTTGTGAATACATTCTATGTTTTAAACCTTAAATTCATTATCACTTTTTCATTCATATCTAAACTTCAGTTCAGTTTTCATTGCATTACATTTTGTGTCCACTTTTCAAAACATTTACTCTTTATATTTAACCACCGATTGTCTAAACGAATTAATCGTTTAATCCTATAGTTTGGCTGTAATTGTGGCCAAAATTATGGCGTTTTGGAGACAATTCGTTGCGCTCCAGAAGAAGGATTGGATAATACGGTCGCGCAATCCGATCGCCACTGTCTTCGAGCTGTTCCCGGCGGTAGTGTTGGCCCTTATGTTCGCCTATTTGTTGAAAGACATCAAATACGATGATCTCTACCTCAATCCCAACGAAAAACTCGAGCCCTACGATATGTACGGACACCACTGGTGGCGGAAGATTGACGTGACCCGAGCGCCGACCCATAATGAGGTCTACTACACGCCGGTCAACGCCTACACCACAGATCTGATGAAGACATTGGTTAACATCACCGGTTGGAGCCTAACGCCGATGAATAGCGGCGAAGATGTGCGCGAAGTGGTCAGTCGTGCAGAGAATAAGTTGCCGACGCCTACGTATTGGGGACCGACACACGTGGGCATCGTATTCGAGGACACGTACGGCACGGTTTGGTCGCATCTCAAGTATACGCTGATCGCCAGAGACGTGGAGAAAATCGTCTCCTTCACCAATCAGAGGGACAACTGGTCGGGTGCCGGTTGGGCCTATCCGTCCAGTTATCTAAGGAATTACTTGGCGTACATTATTGTGTTCATAAACCAGGCGTTTCTGACCAAAGCGGCCAAAGATAATGGCGTGAATCCACCGACGATCCAGTCGTTGGAACTCCAAGAGTTTCCATTGCCGAACAAATTGTACGAAATCAAAAAGCGAGGTTACGCGCCGTACCCGAGCGGCCGAATGGCTCAACGCGTATCCAGAGGTGATATCATTTCAGTGTCCATTGTCTTGGGGTATATCGTGTTGTATCCGCTGATCGTCCGCCGAGTGATGACCGAAAAGGCCAATAAAGTGAAGGAATTGATGAAAATGATGGGAATGAGTGATTGGGTCTTCTGGGCGTCGCATTTCATCAATTATCTGCTGGTGATGTCAGTCCAGGCCTTGATATTCTCATTCCTCTGGTGTTACGGCACGACAACAATCGGTTACGGCTCGGGAGCGCCGATACTTAAGCGTCAGAATGTGATCCTATTTTTCCTAATCGTTTGGATCTTTTGCATCCAAACCATACTCTACTGCATGGCATTCACCACAGTCTTCAACAACTCAGTGCTGGCGGTGATAGTGATGGTCATCGCGTATATACTGGTCTATGGCATCGGTGTTATAATATGTCACCCGGCGATCACCACTCATGAGTACGACTATAACGGTCTGCGACTTCTCCTAACGATGTACCCATCGTTTGCCATCACGTGGTCTATGTCTTTGTTGAGCCGCTGGGAGTGGTATGGCGTCACCGTTGGTCTCAAAGAGCTCTTCGCGAAGACACCATTCATTGAACTCAGTTTAGCCGAAGTCCTAAGCGTTCAGATCTTTTCGTGCTTTTTCTGGGCGGCAATGATCTGGTATTTGGACGCCGTTTGGGTTCACGACGACGGCCTCCCGAAGCCCTTCTACTTCCCG